TGCATTTAGAATATGTTGTCTCTGACAAGCAGCTGCGGACGAGAAATGCATTTTGGAAGGAGCTTCCAGTAACCCCTGAGTGAATTAAGAATAAAAGACCATTGTAAATAGATTGTAACTAATTGCTCTGTTCAACAAAATAACATATTCCATGGTTTCAGCTCCAAAACCTTTACAGCCTCCAAGATTCAAATCAGATTCAAAGGGAACCTCAGTCCCTTTGGTCAGCTAGATGCTGAAGCAAGGATATGCTAAATGAAAAGGAAAAAAAAAAAAAAAGGAGAGACTCCATAGGCATTATTTTTTATCTTCATGTGCCCTTTTTTGACATATTTCTTTAAGGATGAAAGTGTCTGTAATTTCTTTCATCTGAAATAGATTTGCTATTAAGTAGGAAACAGTAACTTTGATAACTACAAATATATTACCGCTTTTGAGCAAAACAGTATTTGAAGTTTCAATTTCTAGTTGATTCCCACCCCCACATGATGAACAATAGGTTATATTGCAAATATGGAAAAGTCCGAAATGCTAGAGATTCTCATACAATTGACAAGACATGCTTTTTTTCAACTGAGAAACAAAACTGTCTTTGCGTTCAAGCCTTCATAAAAAGGAAGACTGGCAACTAATTTAAAAAAAGTAAATCTAATTTCTGTTTTAAGTAGAGAAAAAGATCCCTTTGCTTTTTAGTTACCCGGCATCTCAGTCTTTCAGAAAGCTCTTTTAGATCCACATTTTCAAAGTGGAGTTAGAAGAACAGAGACTCCAAATGAATATATTTTCACAGAAAATTCCTAGACAAAGCAGGGCATCTACTGAAACTAGATGACTGCAATTAAGTATTTCTCATGTGAGAGATTATAGGTGCTTTTGAGAGTTCTAGGACTAGATTTTACTTGCAAAATTGACTGGAAAAGAGTGTCACCACTTATGATTCATTTACACCAAATAGCTCAAGTGGGATTGAAAGGTCTGGGGAAGGTTTGAAACATTTTCTTTCCAAACAAGAAAATGTAAATTTAAATACCAGTAAATGTTTTCTCACTGTTTTTGACATACCTCAGATTACACAAGACATCATTCATCAGGTAGCAAACAAAGTGAAAATTATACTGAAATAATGTCATATATTTTGAGATATGAGAAACTACTCTCAGCTGTAGGTTTGGATATGTGGGCAATTGATGAAATAGTTCATTACTGAAAGATAAATGACTTGGTGAACACGCACACCCTTAATTACACA